AGGTAAACGGCGTTTCCGGGCGCTGCTCTGGTTCACCAGAAGCGGCTTAGTCATTCTGGCCACATGACCCTGAAGCTGTATGCCGGCTCCCTTGGCCAATAAAGCGAGATGAGCGCAGCAACCCCAGAGTCAGTCACGACTGGATCTAATGGTCAGGGGTCCCTTTACCTTTACCTTTACCTTTACTGTCTACCCTGGTCCTGAATTAGGCGAACTCTGTAGAACAGAGCTTTCCAAACTTTTCTTTTTTTAAAAAAAAGATATTTATTAAAGTTTCAACATATTACAAAAATAAGAGAAAAAAGTAAAAGAAAACAAAAAAAAACAAAAATAAAAATAAAAATACAAAGTAAAAACAGTTAAAAACAAATCAGTCTTTCCATATCTTATCTTTCATTTGCTTGTTTCCCTGACCTTCTCACACCTCCCTTTTTTGTATTCCAGTTCAATTAGTTAATTCAGCAAATCCTTTCCCTCTTTGATTTTATCTTAATCTTTTATCTTAATATATTATAACTTTAGGTTATCACCTGTTAACAATCCATTTTTACGTATTCCTTTATAATATTGCTGCTAAAAACCACTTAACTTCAATCCAACATCATTCTAACATTCATTCAGAGTTTTCCAAACTTTTCATGCTGGTGACACACTTTTTAGACGTGCATCATTTCACGACACAGTAATTCTGTTTTACTAGTAAGGAGGAGGTTAAACTAACCCTTTTCCGGCCCCGAGAGGAACTCGTGGAGTGTTCACACGACACAACCACACGCTATAGCCGACACACTAATGTATTGCGACACACAGTTTGGGAAGCTCTGCTGTGGAAGTTCTATCAGCAATCGCACCGAGGTCTGAGGCTTTAAATACAGGAACCGTTCCAGGGGAGAAAAAAAACAAAAAACCTGAGGTTAATTTATTACAAAAGTCCACAGATAAAGAAAGCTAAATCCCCACCCAAATTTCTGATTCCCAACACAATGTTTGCTCATTGCATCATACAACACATATAAATCCTGGTCAATCACTAATCTTTAAGCAATGTTTCCTGGTTTGAGTAATAAGACCACAGTTAAAGCTAGATTGATCAGAGACCATTTTAAACAAACTGAGAGACCAGGTTTCTATGCTCTCTTTCTCTCGCTCTCTCATTAAGGATCTCATTAGAACTTTTCCACAGGATCCGGTAATGATCTGGCTGCATGTCAGTCTTTGCTTATTAATTTATATTTTCTTTCTGCCTTTCCACACTGGCCAAGATAGCTAACAAAACGGAAACACAAAACACATATATGCAACACACACACACACACACACACACACACACACAATCATTGGCCTGTGAAAACGCAGATCTTTAAACAACAACAGGCAAATGAGCCCATCAGGCTAAAGGTCTGTTCAAACCAGTAGTTCCCAAAGTTTTTCGTGCCTCTGACCCCATGGTTCCAAAAATTCATCCACAGAGCTCCCTGCCCGACCCTATAAAAAGCATTATTCAGAATGGCGGTTTGCATGAAGGAAGATGATAACACCATAAAATTCAAAACAGAAAACAATTAATTGCACATTGATTTGAGTTCCAATTGAAACTAGTTAGTTTAATCCAACAAAACGGATGAACTTGATCCAGGTATACCAGCTTCTCAAAGTCTGATACTCATTTACATCTCCAGGAAATCTCACTGCCGCCCAGGGAGTTGTACCTCTCACTCTGGGAACCAGTGCTTTAAAAGTCCAAGGGCGATCCTAGTTTGGGTAAAATAAAAAAGTTATTTTCAGTCATGTATAACTGCTGCATTTCAGTTTTGCCTGATACAGATTTCCGTGGATCAAAAAAAATGTGCACACCAAGCTAGACTGGTCCTTTATACATGTATAATTTCAATTTCTGTGTATCCCTGGGACTAAGAAGGTGACGTTGACCTACTGAAGGGCTTGGCATTGGCTCTTATCTCTTATCCATGAGACCAGAAAACCCTTGCAGATATCATCTTTATCAGAACGTCTGTTCCATACAATATAGGAATCAAGTCTTTAGTGTGGAACTCCCTTCCATATCTCTCTATTGTCTTTTATATGTGTCTGTTGAAGACCTTCCTTTTTTCAACAACCCCTTTGAAGCTGGATATTTTATTTGTCCCGATCCATATTTGCATCAGACCAGACCTTGTTTTCACATATGAAATGGCTTTCAATATATGGAATTGTTTTAAGTTGTTTTTACTGCTGACGCTCCATGCAATGCGATTCATAAACAGAACCACTTTTTTAAAAAATTAAATAATATTTTGTATCTTCAGGAACTAAATTCTACGCAGAAAGTATTCAGAGCTCATGAGGCCTCCAAGCTCAAGACTGGAATCCAATTTCTGGTTCCTGCATATTTTGACCTTGGAATCTGGCCTTGTTACTGTCTCTCTGTAATTAAATCTATTATGAGGACTCTGGGTGGGAAGAGGGAAGTTTCAAATGCTAATGAGTCAAATGATTTATTCACAATTCCAACTGTATATGCATATGCTGATTTGACAGCCCGTCAATCACCTCCAAGGAACAAGTCTATTTCTGACAGTACCTTTTAAAAACCGCCCTCTTTTTAGAACTTGCAAATTTTGGCATAATATTGCAGGAAATGAACCCTGTTCACCCAGAGCTTTTGGTGCTGCTCCTTGCTTTCATTAACCTGGAAGAACAGGTTGGGTCATCTGTAAAAATGTTTGCTTGGATACATTGCTGGCTGGATCAGACCCAAAGCCCCATCTAGCGCAGCATTCTGTTCTCACAGTGGCCAGCTTTCCCATGCATTAACTATTTTTACACATACGTATTTATTTTAACTGTGAGAGCTGGACCATAAAGATGGCTGATCGCCGAAGAATAGATGCTTTTGAATTCTGGTGCTGGAGGAGACTCTTGAGAGTCCCATGGACTGCAAGAAGATCAAACCTCTCCATTCGGAAGGAAATCAGCCCTGAGTGCTCACTGGAAGGACAGATCCTGAAGCTGAGGCTCTAATACTTCTCATGAGAAGAGAAGACTCCCTGGAAAAGACCCTGATGGTGGGAAAGATGGAGGGCACAAGGAGAAGGGGACGACAGAGAACAAGATGGTGGGACAGTGTTCTCGAAGCTACCAACATGAGTTTGACCAAACTGCGGGAGGCAGTGGAAGACAGGAGTGCCTGGCGTGCTCTGGTCCAGGGGGTGACGAAGAGTCGGACATGACTAAATGACTAAACAACAACAACAATTTATTTTAACTGACTACAGCTGGCTTTTCCAACACGGAAAGTGGCATTAGATTAGGAAGAGAACCAGGGCTGATGTTCCTGGACTACAAATCCCATAATCCCTGACCACTGACCCCCACTTGCTGGAGCTGATGGGAGCTGGAGTTCAACATCAAGCAGTTCTCCCCTCCCAGCACCCCCTCCAACAAGACAAAATCTTAAAAGAGAAAGCAATATATGTGTATATTTTTAAAGTCCTCCACCTACTAACGCAGCCTTTGCCCATATATTTCGGAGTACAACTCCCATTGGCCCCAGAGAGACACCTGGAGGGAACTGGGTTGCCCAAGTCTGCAGTAATTCAACCCATTTAGCCGTGATTCCTGCACTGCAAGGGGTTGGCCTAGATGACCTTTGGCTTCCATCCCCACTCCACAATTCTATGATTGCTTTTTTGAACAACAACAAAAAAGTCTTTGCGATTGTAACCGACGGAACTACCCGCCACTGTAGACTGACTCCCCTTCCCAGGTCTCACGGTGATGTAAATTCTTTTTTAAAAAATCAATTCCAAAAGCAGGTCATGATTGCCGGCCATGCAATTCTACTCTCTGCCGAAGAATGCTGTGTGAGCTGCAAGCTTGCAGCCTGGAAGCAGGGCCAGATTTAGGTTTGATGAGGCCCTAAGCTACTGAAGGTAACGGGGCCCTTTATATGTCCAGCTGTCCTTTGTCAACAACAAATTGTCGCTGTTTTTTGTGTTGTAAAGGGACCCCTGACCTTTAGGTCCAGTCGTGGCCGACTCTGGGGTTGCGGCGCTCATCTCACTTTATTGGCCGACGGAGCCGACGTACAGCTTCCGGGTCATGTGGCCAGCATGACTAAGCCGCTTCTGGCAAACCAGAGCAGCACATGGAAATGTTGTTTACTTTCCCAACGGAGTGGTACCTATTTATCTACTTGCACTTTGATGTGCTTTCAAATTCCTAGGTTGGCAGGAGCTGGGACCGAGCAACGGGAGCTCCCCCTGTTGCGGGGATTCGAACCGCCGACCTTCTGATCAGCAAGTCCTAGGCTCTGTGGTTTAACCCACAGCATCACCCGTGTCCCGTTTTTTGTGATGAATATATGCTATGTGGCAATTGATGGACCTAATAAGTATCTAAAGCCATTTGCACATAACAAAACATGTATTTTATCAAAGTATCTGTTGAACTGAAATACAATTAAGAAGAAGTATATTAATAGTGAAGTAATTATTAACTTAAAATGATTTTTTATTCATAACAAACCTAATAATGCAAACACGGGTTTTATTTTATTTGTTTTTTGTTTTATCTTTTGGAAACGTACATCCAGTTTTTGTTTCCTTTAAATTTTTGGGGGGCCCCCAAGAGAGTTGGGCCCTAAACTAGAGCTTGTTCAGGGAAGTTTTTAATGTGTGACATTTTAATGTATTTTTATTCTTTGTTGGAAGCCAGATGGGCGGGGTACAAATAATAAATTATTATTTATTATTATTATTATTATTATTATTATTATTATTATTTATTATACTGTACGTCAATCCGGCACTGCCTGGAAGCTCCTTCTCCGAGATGCGCTCGCTCGCATCTAGCAGCCGCCGGGTGGGTGGGCGCGCGCGCGCGCGCACATGGAGCCCCGCAGCGGCGGAAGGGTTAAGCACCTGCGGGCGAGAGGCGCGCTCCTTGCTGGCTCCACCTTTCGGCCGAGCGAGAGGAGGGTCCGGCGGCGGCGGCGAGGCACTTCTCCTCTGGCTCACAAGCGGGTGCCTTCCCCAGCCGCCGCCGCCGCCGCCTGCGCTCCGCGTGGGGACCCCAAGACGCCTCTCTTTGTGCTCCTCCAACCCAGAGAAACTTCTCCCGGCTCCGAGGCGTCCAGCATGTTCCAGTGGTGAGTGGAGCTCTTTTTCCAACGAGACCTCTTTGATTTGCACCTTTTCCAGCTGTGCGTTGCTCCAACTCCGAGGGTCCTTTTTTTGCTCTCCAAGACGCGCGTTTGAAGAATCGCCTCTTTCCTTCCCATCTTTCGCTGGCTAAGGGGAGCATCCCAATCCAAGGCTTCTTCCTTCTTCTTTTTTCAGCGTGAGTTTTTCTCATCCTCCCTCCTTCCGTTGCCTTTCCTGCTAAAACACCATCCTAGGGGTTGGTGATTAAAAGCGTGGAGCAGAGTGGTTTTCTTCAACTCCAGCTCTTGCTTTCAGAGTAACCCACCCCACTACAGTGGTACCTCGGGTTAAGTACTTAATTCGTTCCGGAGGTCCGTACTTAACCTGAAACGTCTTAACCTGAAGCACCACTTTAGCTAATGGAGCCTCCTGCTGCTGCTGTGCCGCCGGAGCACGATTTCTGTTCTTATCCTGAAGCAAAGTTCTTAACCCGAGGTACTATTTCTGGGTTAGCGGAGTCTGTAACCTGAAGCGTATGTAACCTGAAGCGTCTGTAACCCGAGGTATTCATCTGTATTCATCTTTTCTGTGCTTTGCTTCACTCGCCCCCATCCCATTTAATTTTATTTTTTTATGCTCAGGCTTCAGTGTTCTTGTAAAAAACAAAAGGCGACAAGTTAAGTGGGCCTGGGGGTGGCTGGATGAAGATGTTGAAACCCTGCAGGGTGCAAAGTGCACATTCCATACTAGGGGATTTGTTAAAGAGGAGATCCGAATCAGAACTGGCGATATCTTAAGGCTGCCCTGGTGGCGAGACCCGGCTCGGAATGCTGTGTGCGTTTCTGGTTCTTGGACCTCGAAAAGGCTATTGTGGAGTTGGAAAAATGTTCAGAAAAGGGCGACACCCCCTCCGGAAAGGTTGCAGCGTTTGGGAATTCTTAGTGCAGAGAAAAAGCGAATTAAAGGGTTGGGGGGAACAATGGGAAAGATGTCTGAGATGGTGTCTAGAAAATGGACAGTGAAACGTTTTTCTCCGGCTTTCATGATCCTAAGGCACAGGGTCACCCAGGGAGCTGAAGGATAGGAGATTCAGGACAGAAACAAAGGAAGTTTTCCAGTGGCTTTCTGGCCACAGTGTAGATGTTCTGCCTCCCCTGTCAGGCAGTGCGCCTCTGAATGCCGGTTCACGGGAGGGGAGAGATTTCTTGCGCCCGGATACCACTTGCAGGTTCCCTGTGCTGTCTGTCTGCTTGGCCACTGGGAGCACAGGCTACTGGACTCGATGGGCCAGTTGCATTGCTCCGGCAAAGTTCATATTTTCTTTTACTGGCTGACAGTATATCAATGGGTAGGATTTTTAATGCATTTAGGAAGTTAGGAAATGCAGATCTGAGAGTCATATGCATTGCATATGAGTTGCATTGCTCCAGCAAAGTTCTTCATATTTTCTCTTATTAGCTGACAATATCTCTAGCTGACAGTACAGTGGTACCTTGGGTTGAGTACTTAATTCGTTCTGGAGGTCCGTTCTTAACCTGAAACTGTTCTTAACCTGAAGCACCACTTTAGCTAATGGGGCCTCCCGCTGCTGCCGCGCGATTTCTGTTCTCATCCTGAAGCAAAGTTCTTAACCCGAGGTACTATTTCTGGGGTAGCGGAGTCTGTAACCTGAAGCCTATGTAACCCGAGGTACCTCTCTACATCAGTGGGTAGGACTTTTAATGCATTTAGGGAGTTAGGAAATGCAGATCTGAGAGTCATATGCATTGCATATGAGTTGCATTGCTCCGGCAAAGTTCTTCATATTTTCTCTTATTAGCTGACAGTATATCAATGGGTAGGACTTTTAATGCATTTAGGAAGTTAGGAAATGCAGCTGAGAGAGAGAGAGAGAGAGAGAGAGAGAGAGACGTTGGTGGCCAAAGATGCTTGCTAACTGTAGTTTCCTGTAACGGATTCATCTCAGAAACAACCCTATCTTTCCATCCCAGCCTTGCATTTTCTCGGTTTGAGGTTTTCATCCTGAAATCAAAAGATTAATGAGACCTACGATTTATGGTGTGATCCTGTGTCTGATGATTACGCAGCAGTCTTCCTATATTTAGTGGGGGTTACTCCCGAGTAATTGGATCACAGGTGTGTGTGGGGGGGCTTGTGGTCAAGCCTCTTTTCACCCAAAGGGCTCTGTGGATGACTTGGTCCTGGGGGGTCACACACTTTCAACCCAACCTACCTCGCAGAGTCGTCATAAGGCTAGCCCATCCCTTGAGCAACTTGCGAATCAAAATATGATGCTGATTGTTTGCAGGGGTGGTTGGAGTGAAGGACAAGTGGCCAAACTCTTATTTATACCTTCATTATTATTATTTTTTTAAAGAGAGACTAGGATACTAGTCCACTGGTGTGTTGCACATCCTGCAACAGCGTGGATCCAGTTTAACAACTGAGCTGCCACTGATTTTCTGCTCAGCGATCCAGAGTATGAAACTCTTGCTTCGAAACATGAGCAATTGCTCGCTGGATCAAATCAAGGTCCATTTAGGGGGTCTGCTAGAACACTGGCCAGTGGTGTGTTCATGAACTACAACAGACCTTCTGTTCATCGTGGCTAAAGATAAGAAGAGACCACTGGCACCAACCTTTTTGCAAGCTCCCTTGCACAGGATAAGTTTGGTCCATCAAGCTCAGTATTGTACATTAGCAATATCAAAAGCAACACAATGGCCAGAAAATTACAATATTTTGAATTATTTCATAAAGTTTTTCACATTGCAATTGTTTCTGGCCATTGTGTTGCTTTTGATATTGCTGACTCGTATTTTGCAACACGGGGGTTTGTTTGTTTACTCAGTATTGTACGTTGACTGCTAACTCTCCAGGGTTTATAGATAGGGGGCATCCCAAGTCCTACCAGGAAATGCCAGGGACTCACCATCTTGTGTTACTTGTTAGGGAAAGATGGAAGCTGCCTTAGATGTCAGGCTGCTGGTGTATCTTGGCTCCTGGGTCTTTTTTAGCTCTAGGTGAATTTGCAGCAAAATCTGCATCTTCCTCCTGTAACAAAGGGGCGAGTGGATTTGGGACAAGTTTGCACAACCTCCAGAAATCGGAAGGATTGAGAACGGAGCGGAGGAGAATCTCCTTCTCTGCACCGTCTCTGTATGGTGCTCTGGAGAAGTTGGTGGCTGTTTTTGTGAGGGGTTCGGTCACCTGCCGCACAGTCAGGTTCCATCATCATCATTATTTTTTATTGAATTTTACAAGAAAAGAAAAGGAAAAAGAAACAAAAAACAATACATAGCACTGTAAACACATTTATATACATGTTTTCCAAAATGCAAACTAATAAAGAAAATACTTTTTATAACCAATAATATTACCAAATTCATGCTTCAAGCATTACAATATATAAATCTTAGTTAAAATATTATAAAAGACTTTCAGCACACGTCTCTTAGTTATCTTGCTCGCCTTTCCATCTGTTCTTCAATCATTTCCCTTCCTTAGATTCTTTCATAATCAGCCAAATAGTTATGTTCTCTATATTCTTCACAAGGTTAGTCTAGGCACAACCAAACTTCCATATTTGAGCCCTGCTTGTATAAATATTCGTTTAAGCATTCCCATTGTTTCTGAATTATAATTTTTGATTTATACCTTATTGAATAAGTCAGTTTTGCTAACTCCAGGTACTCACATAGTTTACTTAGCCATTCCCCTTTTGTTGGGAAATAATTTCCTTTCCAATGACTTGCTACCAACGTTCTCGCTGCTGTTGCATCATTAAATAGCTGGCTGGGAGGGTCTTGTGCAACAAACCTGCTTCCCCGGAAGATCAGACTTTTTGCGATAAGGAAAGTGAAGATGTGAAAAGGATAAGGGAAAGGGCAGTGCGGAGGGAACACTTGCTTTTGGAACACTTGCTTTTGACACATCATCCCTCTAACCTCCCCGCAAACATATAAGAATTGTTGTTGTTGTGTCGTTTAGTCGTGTCCGCCTCTTCGTGACCCCCTGGACCAGAGCACGCCAGGCACTCCTGTCTTCCACTGCCTCCTGCAGTTTGGTCAAACTCATGCTGGTAGCTTCGAGAACACTGTCCAACCATCTCGTCCTCGGTCGTCCCCTTCTCCTTGTGCCCTCCATCTTTCCCAACATCAGGGTCTTTTCCAGGGAGTCTTCTCTTCTCATGAGGTGGCCAAATTCTTGGAGCTTCAAGATCTGTCCTTCCAGTGAGCACTCAGGGCTGATTTCCTTTAGAATGGATAGGTTATATAGATATAAGAATTAAGGTAAAGGTAAAGGGAACCCCAACTGTTTAGTCCAGTCGCGGACGACTCTGGGGTTGCGGCACTCATCTCGCTTTATTGGCTGAGGGAGCCGGTGTACAGCTTCCAGGTCATGTGGCCAGCATGACTAAGCCACTTCTGGCGAACCAGAGCAGCGCACGGAAACACCGTTTACCTTCCCGCCGGACGTGCTTTCGAACTGCTAGGTTGGCAGGAACACAGACCGAGCAACGGGAGCTCACCCCGTCGCGGGGATTCGAACCGCCGACCTTCTGATCGGCAAGTCCTAGGCTCTGTGGTTTAACCCACAGCGCCACCCGCTCATCAAATAGAACACACATTCCAATCTCCCTGCAACAAATGAAGATGGGTGCTCAATAACTAGGTTGTCTGGATGTGTCTTTTGACACCTCCTATTTAATTATTTTACTGCATTTTTATCCCACCTTTTCCTCCAAGGGGTTCAGGGTGGTGTAGATGGTTCCCTCCTCATTTAATCCCCACAATAACCCTGTGAGGAAGGTTAGGCTGAGAGGCAGCGACTGGCCCAAGGCGAGACCTTCATGGCCAAGTGGGGATTTGAGCCTTCATGTCCCAGGTCTTAGTCTGATGCTCTAACCACTACACCACACTGTCCCTCCTAAATATCTCCTTTAAAGATCTGCTGTCACTTAATTCCGACCGCTGCTGGTTCCATGGATGAGAATCCACAGCCTGTTTTATAGCTGAAAGCTTCTGAGCGGGTGACTTACGTTTTTTCTGTTTTCTTTTGTTCTTTTTGCATAGAGCAACAGGAAATGGCAAATCTGCCACAGGGGAGATTTTGTGCATTGGGATCTAAACTGCTGGCTGAAAGCAGCGGTTGGATGGCCATCTGCCATAGATGCTTTAGCCGAGATTCCTTCATTGCAGGGGGTTGGACTAGATAACCCCTGGGGTACCCCCAACTCTACAATTCTATGGTTCTATGAAGGGCTTCTCCTTTTTTTATCTTAATTTTTATTAAGTTTTCCATATTCCATTACATTTTCATTACACAAATCCTTGACTTAAAGCATTGCTCACACAAAGCAATCCTTCCCTCCCTCTTTCTGACTTCCAAACTCTTTTACCAATTCTTCGCATTTCCATAGCCACTTTTTTACCTTATATCTTCTTTTGACATTCACCTCCTTATATGCAAATCAGCTCCTTATTTTCACATTACCAAACATTTCAACTCAGACCTACAAACGTTTTCAAACGTTTACAGTTTTCTTTCATATAAGATATAAATTTGCTCCAGTCCTTTTGAAACAGTTCGTCACTCTGATTCCGGATCTTCCCCGTCAGCTTTGCCAACTCCACATATTCAACCATCTTTATCTGCCAATCTTCCAATGTAGGAAGTTCCTGCTGCTTCCATTTCTGGGCCAGAAGTATTCTTGCAGCCGTTGTGGCATACATGAACAAATTTATGTCTTTTTAAAAAATTTCCTCACCAATTAACCCCAACAGAAAAGCATCTGGATTTTTATTAAAATTATACTTAAATACCTTTTTCAATTCATTATATATAATATCCCAGAAGGCTTTCACCTTAGTACAAGTCCACCACATATGGAGGAAATTCCCCTTATGAAGGGCTTTTCCTTATCTTCCCCTTGCACAAGATTTAGCCTTTTTAGGTTTCATTTCATCGTTCCAGGCTGAAGTTTCGTTTATTTCTTTCCAAGCATCAGCCGTAACGCATTAGGCCTGAGGGTCTCTATTTCACTTTTGATGGAAAGAAAGTGTTAATTTCACAACTGGGGAGAAAGCCACACACCTGCGGCTGGGTCAGGGCAGGAACTGTATGAGTAAGCTCTAGCTATTTAGCTGCCTGTTCCTCTTGTGTAATTTCCAGGATTGGCAGCGTTCAGAAGAGTAATCTAGTAACGTGCTGGAAAGGTGGATTTCCCCACCGAAATAAAAATAAAAATAATTTATCTTTTGTGTCGTCAGAGCCAGTGTGGTGTTGTGGTTAGAGCAGTGGACTAAGATCTGGGAGACCAGAGTTCAAATGGCCACTCAGCCTGTGGGGATAGCTCAGTTGGGTCATGGGTTCGAATCCCACATTGGGATTTCATGGGGTTGGACTAGATGACCCTTGTTCCAACTGTGATTCCATGAATCTGGGGTCACATGGGGTGCCCTTGGGCTGCCTCTCTCAGCCTAACCTACCTCACAGGATTGTTGTGGGGATTAAATGAGGAGGGGGAGAACCTGGGAAATAAAGGAGAGATATAGACGCAGTAAATAAAAGTAGATAAATATACATAACTGACCTCCGTTCAAAATTCTCCAGCTGATCAGCTGTAGCAATAAGTACAAATAATGGCAGGTTGAATTTCATAGGGTCACTTAAATGACGTGTTGAAAACAAGACTAACTTGTCTTTGAAAAAAGGTTGGTTATCTTAGCATACCAGTAAAAAATGACCGCGGACGGGGTTTGCATTAAGACTGGACAAGGAGCCACATGCCACAGATTTAATTGATAACCAAATCAGAGTCCAGGTTTTAGAACTATCAAGAGCAGGGGTTGGGGGCGATTCCTGCACTGGTTTAAAATAAATTGGCATTCTTCCCTTGTTTCCAAATGCCAGGCTTTAGATTGTGTGACGTGGAGGGTGCCTCTGACCATGCACAAAATGTTTTTTTTTTCATCTCTGCAGAGTATGCTTCCACATCCAGATGTTGGGCTTCAGGTCAGGGTACACAGTTTTGCGGCATGCTCAAATGCTGGCAGCCGCTCCCCCCTTTTTTATTAAAAATCTGTTACTGCAGGACATGAGTCACAGTTGGGAAAAGAGCTCTTAGGTGCTGCTGGAGAGAGTGGCAGGGGCACAAAGAGTGTTCTCTGTTCTGCCGCAAACTGACTGGGTGCTGGTGATCTACCGTATTTTTCGCTCTATAAGACGCACCAGACCACAAGACGCACCTAGTTTTTGGAGGAGGAAAACAAGAAAAAAATATTCTGAATCTCAGAAGCCAGAACAGCAAGAGGGATCGCTGCGCAGTGAAAGCAGCAATCCCTCTTGCTGTTCTGGCTTCTGGGATAGCTGCGCAGCCTGCATTTGCTCCATAAGACGTCACCTTACTTTTTAGGAGGGAAAAAGTGAGTCTTTTTTTTTTTTTTAAATGATATTTATTGAAAATTTTTTAGAATTACAAAAGAAAACAAGGTAGAAAAAGAGAAAGAAAAAACAAAGAAAAAACAAACCACATCAAACAATACAAATTAATCAAAAGACAAAAATATACCACAAACATTTAAAAACAAATCCATTATTCTCAAATCCTTAACTGTCATTACCTTCTTTCTTTGACCTCCTCCTCCTCCCTTTTTTTGTATCCTAGTTGTTAATTGTCGCAGCAAATCCTTTCCATATTTCATAATATTCTGTCATTACATTACCTTAATCTATTTTAATCTTATCTTACTATAGAAAACCTTAAAACCTAAAACTTAAATCTTATTTTTACCAACTTCTCATAACCATAATATTCTTACATGATTCTTTAAACATTTTTGCTAAAGCCAAATAATTTCGTTCCAACATTTTTCTAACATTCATCAGTTTTATAAAACAATCCTAATAATAAAAAAGAAATAAAAAAACAATCCAATCTTCATCCAGCGTCTCTTCCTCCTGGTCCCGGGTTTTGTCAGTCCTTTTTATCTCATCAATCTAGCGCATTAACCTGGTAATCTTATATCCGAGGCCCTTAAGTCCCTTCCATGTCCCTTCCGCGGCTCTTCTTCATATTTATAACTGTATTTTCCTTTGTCTCCTGCTCCTTTCACTCGTGGGAACTCCAGCTTAGCAATGTTTTTGACCCTTCTCGACAAATCAGCCCCTTTTCCATAGTCCACACTAAACTCCATATGGTATTTAAGAACATGTTTCAAAGTCTCTCCAAAATTAAGAGCCCCCACAACCCCAAACATCTCACGGCCCATTGCCAGACTTGAAAAGTCCAAACATCCCTGCATAGGGGGGTCTATCCAACCCCCATTTCCAAACCAAACCAAACTTTATCTTTCCAAATCTGGCTTTTTCCAAGTTCATTTGTCAAATCCAAAAGCTCATGTTCCTGCTGGGCCACAGCTCCCTCCATCTCTGGCGCCCAAGATTCAGCAACATCCTCTTCCCTCATCTGTTCTGTCAGGGCACACTCCTGATTTAATTCCTGAGTGGGCTCCATATAATTTCCCACTGCCTGTTCAAAATTTTTGATTGCATCAGTCATCAAGTCCGTCTTCTCATGTAGCTGTTCCAGTAGGGCACTTGTTTTACAGAGAGCACACAGCAGAGCTTCTGAATACATTGTCCTGCAAGGTCAGAAGTCTATTCCCACGATCGTAATCTGTAACAGCTGCAAGCTCCCGATTCAGAATTAGTTACAGTTTCACAGGCTCCTCTAGGGTAAAAACTTCTATTTGTTCTTTTCTTTTAAATACAAATCTAACAACAAAGTTTTTTTTTCCAGATATTTTGTCAATATTTGTTCCTTTAAAATGCGAAGGGGAACAATGGAATCACTATGTTTCTCTTCTTTTAGCTATCTGTCAAAAACGTTTGTCTCTGGTCAATGAGCTTCAAAAAACGTCAGTCCTGACACCCCGCTCCAGGATCAAGACGGTGGAAAGTTACTTTACTTTACACTCACTTCTGCAGGTTTAAACAGTTCAGAAAAAATCCCCCCTCTTCTCCTGCTTCCGAAGGGGGTTCAACAATCTTAAATGATGAAAGTTAGTCCTTTACAAGCGATTTTCTGAGCTCTAGTTTGCCATGTCTTTGCTTTAATCTATCTACAAAGAAACGGAAGGCTGACTTCCTGTTTAGACCTTCCCGTTTCAGTGCCAAATTGAAATAAACTTTTAAGTCCAATTTTCCTTTCTGCACGCAAGTCCTTATTTAGAGTCCAATTGTCCGAAATTTAAGTACTCACGGGTGATTGTTTTAGAAGCCAAATTGTCCCAGGAAAAAGGCAGCGCTCTCCGGCAACGGCTGTGCGGCTTCGCTCCACGGAAGAAGCAGTTGACTCTCAGCACCGCGCCACTTCCCCTCTTCGCTCCGGAGCCCGTTAGTGGGTTCCTTTGTGGGTTGGGGGGGCGCTAAAGGTGCCCGCCGAGTCCCATGGTCACAGGCTTCACCCGCCTGTGATTTTTGAAAGGGTCCCCGCTTCGCCGTAGCGGGAAAGACCCGTTTCCCGTGGAGCTGGTCCCTCCAGATCAGAGGGAATCCGCCATTACCGATGGCGCCACCCTGGAAGTCTGGAAAAAGTGAGTCTTATAGAGCAAAAAATACGGTATTCTCTTGCCCTCAGCTTGTCTTCCGAAACATGGGGATTACAGCATTGGCCTACCTTACAAGGATGTTGTAAAGCGTATTTATTTATTTCATGCCATTTAAATACTGCTCGATTGTAAGAATAAGAAAGAACCTCGAAGCTCTTTATTGGGATAATGGAACGTGCCACATTTTTAAATCCCTGGAAATGTACTACACAAAGGTTTTCTAGAACAAGTTGCCAACTTAAATTAGACAAGAGCTGAGCACCTTGGTATTTGGGACAGTCGCTTTTGTTTAAGAAGGCGATCCCAGAAGGATGGCCTAGGGCGCTTCCAGACTGTCGCTATTCCCATATCGGCAAATCCAGGCTGCACAATTGTGGGTGACAGAGAGGTCTTGCACAAGGAACCCGCTTCCCCGACAAGATAATACGTTTTGCGATAAGGAAAGTGGTCGGGGAAATTGCCAGTGTGGGAAGAATCAGAGTGACACTTGGCCTGACGCGACGCCCATCTAATCTCCCCAGAAGCAACTACCAGAATAATTCACTGGAAAGTGTAATATAACATTTGCTTAACGCAACACTGTCTTATCTTCCCTTGAAGCAGACCAGGATGAATGCCAAGCAAACAAGTCACCTGGTTACAGCCACAGACATTTTAAGAAATATTGTACAACTGTAGATACGGCTTTATTGCTTTTCATTTTCTGAGTGCATCACCTTTTGCAGTTTATCTTATTTTTATTGTTTTGCACATCTTATTGTTTGCACATTATAAATCTTCAGAGTGGGGGTGGGGGAGAAAAAATGGATAGTACCTCCCTTATGCTTTAGGGCAGATTTTCCTGGGCTTGTAGTTTTCCTTTCCCATTCCTTCTCATTTTGCCAGGCTGCAGCCTAGGGTAACGCAGGGCGATGGCCTGATCCAGCCACAGTGAAGCCCCAAGTCTTGCTGAAAACCAACTGTGCTTGACTTTGGCTGCATCACAGACCGTGTGTCTGCAACCTCTGTAATTTTCTTCAGTGGATGAAACATAGTGGTATGTTGTTGTTTTTTTCCAAAAAAATATTTTTTTAAAAAAAATGTTGGCACAAAGCTTGCTAGTCTAAAGTTGTGCCTTCCATATTCATCTTGTATTTGACGTGCTGCAGTGTACAAGAGTCCTTCTGTTTTAAACTCTTGCATCTAGCTCACAAAGTCTTCTCCCAAGCAGGGATTGCTCACTCAATGAGAAAAAGTTCAGATTGTGTGAAGAGCCCTCCTGCTGAATCAAGGGCCCCTTCAGACCAGTAGGGTGGGTTTTCCTTTTTTTACAGGCACATTCTGCATTGCGTCATTGATGCAATGGTTGTGCATTGTTGTTGTTTAGTTGTTTAGTCGTGTCCGCCTCTTCGTGACCCCATGGACCAGAGCACGCCAGGCACTTCTGTCTTCTACTGCCTCCCGCAGTTTGGTCAAACTCATGCTGGTAGCTTCGAGAACACTGTCCCACCATCTCGTCCTCTGTCGTCCCCTTCTCCTTGTGCCCTCCATCTTTCCCAACATCAGGGTCTTTTCCAGGGAGTCTTCTCTTCTCAGGAGGTGGCCAAAGTATTGGAGCCTCAGCTTCAGGATCTGTCCTTCCAGTGAGCACTCAGGGCTGATTTCCTTCAGAATGGAGAGGTTGGATCTTCTTGCAGTCCATGTGACTCTCCAGATTCTCCTCCAGCACCAGAATTCAAAAGCATCCATTCTTCGGCGATCAGCGGCATTAGTGGTGGATTTATGCTGGACCGTCCACAAGTCAATCTGCTTTATCAGTTGTTCTGTGATGCTGCTGCAATGCTGTTGCACGATTGCCGTCTGGAGGGAAGCTCTCACACGATAGAGCAACAGAAGCAGGACAAAAAGTAAGAATAATCCCAGAACGTTTGCTGTAAGAAAAGTTACAGGATTTCAGCAGGAAGTTGCCATATGTTTGCCCTGAAACTTCTGCAAGAGCAAAATTTTTTTTTGAAAACAAGGTCATGTGTGGCATAAATGCACATCTGGAGGGCTCCTAGACTGGCCAGAGGCCTCCCAAAATGCCACAAGCACGACCTAGAATCAAACTCACCCCATCTTCCATTTTTTAAAAAATGTTTTATTTATTAAATTTATACGCTGCCCTTCATTGAAAGATCTCAGGGTGGTTAACAGAATAAAATACTATGTGACAACCCTTCAGATACTTGATGATGGCTCTCATATCTCGTCTTAGTTTCCTCTTCTCCAGGCTAAACATATCCAGCTCCTTTAACCATTCCTCATATGGCTTGGTTTCTAGACCCTTGTTAATCTTGGTCTCACTTTTCTGCACAGGTTCCAGCTTGTCAACACTCTTAACTAAATTACGGTGCCCTGAACTAGACACGGTATTCCAGACGTGGTCTGACCAAGGCAGAATAGAATTGGACTATGACTTCCCTTGATCTGGACACTTGACTTCTGTTGAAGCAGCCTAGATTAGTATTAGCTTTTTTTGCTGCTGCATCACACTGTGGACTCAAGTTTGTGATCTGCTAAGACCCCCTAGAAGATAAATGACTTATGCTCAGATGACTGCTGCTGCTATCCCTGACCTCTTCTTGTTTCTTCCTGAGTAGCTAGCCATGACAGCTAAATGGAACCTCCATATTCAGACAAGGTGTATTTCCAGATACCGATTCCTGCAGGACAAATCAACGGGGAGGGTCATCGCTTTCCTGCTTTGCTTGTGGGGTTTTTGGGAGCACCTAGTTGGCCACTGTTGGAAACAGGATGCTAGAGTAGGTGCTCTCAGGCTCACATTCTAAAAAGTACAGCACAAAACGAAAAGAGGTTGGGAGGGAGGAGGAAAAAAGCAAACTCAGACATTAGTTCTTGGATCCGAAGTTCTTAGAAATGACCAGCTGGAATTGGAACAGAGCAAGGAGAGGAAAAATCAGAAGGTGCTGATTTCTCAGCTGAGCTGATGGAGTGCTTCTCTTCTTTCTCTCTGCTGTGTGCAGTTTTATCTTTCTCATTCCAGCTGCCTCTTTTCTGATTGTTGAATTCTCAATTTGCAGAGGCTCTTGAAAAGTGGAGCCTTGCTGGTTCAGAACAAGGGTCCGGGCTAGCCTCAAGAGTCTGCTACTCACAGTAGCCCAGTGCAGACCAGCAGAAGACCTGCCACATAGCAATGGAGAACTCACACACAGGCTGAAAAAGATCCATTTTGAGTTTGCAAATGTTACCTTTAGGGGTATGGGGAAAGTTGCGAGATAAAATATCAAGCATGCCCCAAAATAAAGGGGTTGTGATGGCCCAGCATAATTTTGATTTCCCCCCTCCCTTTTTCTGCGATTCAAATATTGATAAGGAAAAGGACAGCAGTCGGGGAGCCACTACAGAAAAGGCCACCCTCCAAATTTCTCTGGGATGGGGGACATAAGAGAAGAGTCTCAGATGGCAAGCGCAGGGTCGGTTTATATGGGGAGAGGTGGTCCTAAAGATATTGAGGTCCTGAGCCATATAAGCCTTTTTTTCCACATGTTTAGAGATATCTCTAAAATACTGAAAAAACCTAGCTGCAGTCCTAAACTTGGTCTATATTGCTCCAAGTTTGAGTAAGAGCCAAACTTGATCTTTGCATTTAGGTATTTTCAGTGCTTTTGTTCTAAAAAAATTTAAATGTTATGGGGTACTCTCATTTTCCTACTCATATTGAAATACTGCCCCTCAACGAGGCCAAACTTTGATTCACAAAATGTTTAGGGGTAGCGTCCCCCCCCCCAAAAAAAGCACTGGGTATTTGAAACCTGCACCTGCAGGTATTTGAGAAATGCAAATTGCACCAGCTGTGTGGGGAATCCCTGAATCAGAGCAGGTGAGAAGTTTAACCCTTTTCTCTCCTGCTGAAGTCCTGGGGAATTATCTCTTCCCTGAAGCTGCCAGTGGAGGAATTCCACCCCCCCCAGCAAATACTCTATTTCAGGAGAGCACCTAGCAGAGGAGAAAAGGGTTATATGTCCCTTGACTCTCCATCTACAGATCTGTGAGGCGGCTGGCCTTGTGAAGGTTTACAAAGTCTGATTAGGCCATCAGCTCTTGTTTCAGCCCCACATCATATCGAGGAGGAGAACAATAGGGACGCACCTTTATTTATTTCCTGCCCTGCCTTCCAAAGGAGCCCTGGGTGGAAAAGGCTTCAGTAATCAAAAAATAAAATTGTTTAAATACAATTAAGCTCCATAAAATGTCTGAAGCATGTGGTTGTTTGCCAAGATTAGTAGCAGAATGCACGTCAAGTACTGAATTACGTATTAAATTTGTTTGCTAAGACTAGACCTTCCCCCCCATAACACATGCTGTAGAAGTTTCACTGAGCGCAGTGGCCCAGGTGAGATGCAATGGTTTCTTGGCCTGATACACTCTTCTTCTTCTTCCTCCTTCCTTTTTTTCACCAGGTCTATCAAACCATAGTTTACTTCATATGGAGGCCACACTAAACTCTGGTTCCCTCAAACTGTGGAAGGAAGGAATCTGAAGAGGTTTGCACACAAGCCTAAAGCCCATTCACAATGCCCAACAGTTTTGTTACAGCACAGGTGGGGAATCTGTGGCTCTCCAGATGTTGCAGGATTGTACCCCGCCTCACTCCTGACTATTATTGGCCATGTTCAATGGGGCTGTTGAGAGTCAGAGTCTAGTAACACCGAAACGGTCATAGATTCCCCATCCTTGAAGTATTTTGCATTATCTGAATTGATTTAGTGATCCTCTTAAAAGGCGACTCTTGGAATTTGCAGAGGTGGCAAAACTGATGGCCCTGATAAAAGATAGAATCTTTTAAAGAAGCCTGGAAATTGAAGTGTCAGAAAATAGCAGAGCATATTAAGAAACATGTTAGAGAGGATGCAGTTAGATAAGATGGAACCTTAAAATGCAATTGTATGTAATTTGGGTTATAAACACCAGTGTTGGGTGAGCAGAAAGCCACTAGTTTTGTTGAATTGGAATAGAGTTGTTGAGTAACAAATGTAACTTTCTGTCTGGAAAAAAGAATAAAGCATTATTATAAAAAAGGTGACTCTTGGGAACGTGCAACTATTCTTGTAGTTCCCAGGCCCAACGGATGGAAACTGCCCTTCTGAATTGCACCAGCCACAGGGCAGGAGTGATTTCAGTTCTTGATAAGATCTGACACTCGGCTGATGCCCTCTGGGATCAGCTTTTGAAACCTAGAGGAGAAATGCTTCGCCTTTGCTCTACCTGGAAATTTGAATCGAGCCAAACTGGTCTGTCCCGTCCCAACCAGGAGAGCCAGATAAAATGATCCCCGTTCTTCTACTGCAAACATTTGCACATTCAATGTGTTTCTGAGTGTGAACAGCTTTGCCTAAAGGATCCTGGGAAATGTGGCTTTCAGAGAGGCTGACGGCTGCTATCCCACACTAACAATAAAAGAAGAATATCAGAGCAGCTTGCTGGATCCGGCCAGCATCCCATACGTCTTACCCAGGGGTCAGCAAACTTTCTCAGCAGGGGGCCAGTCCAGCGGGGGGATACAAAAAATGGGGGCTTCAGGAGGGTCTGAGGAGTGTTGGAGGGTATCCTATTATGGTGGGAACTGACGGGTCACCCAAACACCAGCTATGGCTTATGTAACCTCAACAGTGTTTTTTACTCTGGTAGGGATGGGCCAGCTGTGATTTCCAGAGTGTACAGGTCCAAAGAACACCCTGAATTCTTTGAAGTTCAGCATGAGCTATCTGGAAAGGGTTGTACACCAGCTACAGCAGGAGTCACCCCCACTGCTGACCGAGTTCCCAGCTGCGATCCCTCCATCACAGGGAGTTGGACTAGATGACACTTCGGGTCCCTTCTAATGCTAGAATTATATGATTCTATGAGAGAAAGAGATTGAGAAGGCATAAAAACAGGGGCCAGCAACCTTTTTCAGCTGTGAACCAGTCCACATTCTCTCAGAACTTGTGGGGGGCCAGACTATATTTTTTTTTGGGGGGGGGGAATGAACAAATTCCTGTGCCCCACAAATAACCCACAGGTGCATTTTAAATAAAAGGACACATTCTACTCATGTAAAAACACACTGATTCCTGGACCATCCGCGGGTCAGATTGAGAAGGTGATTGGGCCGCATCCAGCCACGGGCCTTAGGTTGACTACCCATGGTCTCACCTTTCAAATGATGGACTGATTGTGATTTATCCTCAGTTAAACATTTGACTAATTCAGATGACAACCTTGAGCATGCTTAATAACTTTGAGAACTAAAAGAAGAAAAGTCCCTTGATCCAGGGACAGCCCATGTATATATTGGATTATTCCTACCTCTTTTTCTTAAGGTACCATTCATAATGTAACAATATTCTTCACAGCTGTGAGCAGGGCAGTGCGGTGGGGGACGTTGAGACAAGCGACAACAATTAACGTTGTTCACTGCTCTTGACAAGGTTGCCAGAAAAAGCTTTTCGGTTCCTGAAATTGGTTCCGATCATGCTGATAAAATATAATGGATAGAATTCTACGGGATGTGGTATTAGTGTGCAAAAACAGTCCAGATTCAATGATCCCCGGATGGCGGAGATGTCAGGTGCTATCCTGACACCCGGCATCTTCACTTGGTTGCAAGTGGCTGGACGCCAGGGGCAAATACAACTGGTGCCTGGCTAATTCCAAACGGGACGCGGGTGGTGCTGTGGGTGAAACCACAGAGCCTAGGACCTGCCGATCAGAAGGTCGGCGGTTCAAATCCCTGCGACGGGGTGAGCTCCCGTTGCTCGGTCCCTGCTCCTGCCAACCTAGTATCGAAAACATGAAGTGCAAGTAGATAAATAGGTACTGCTCCGGCGGGAAGGTAAACGGCGTTTCCGTGCACTGCTCTGGTTCGCCAGAAGCTGTTTAGTCATGCTGGCCACATGACCCGGAAGCTGTACGCCGGCTCCCTCAGCCCATAAAGTGAGATGAGCGCCGCAACCCCAGAGTCAGCCACGACTGGACCTAATGGTCAGGGGTCCCTTTACCTTTACCTTTAATTCCAAACACTGCTGGGATACCATTGCTCCAAGAAACTAGGGACTCCTCCCCGCTTCCCTGTCGCCCTGTGCTTTCTCCCCCCCTTTTTTTCCTATTTGAACAATTTATTAGTTTGCCTGTTTTTACAAGTTTAGAAAAAGAATCCCAGGATTTTCCCCCTGTGTGTTCTCGCTTAGCTTCCTCATGGTCCATGATGCCAGCTGAAGTTGTCAGCACAATGTACCCAAACTGGTGTGAAGGTAGCAGGTTGTTCTGCCACTTGGACGTCAAATCTGGGGCTGATCACACCACACTTGTTGAGTCTGCCTGTGAGATTAACAACAATCTTCCCAGCTCTGTGATCATCAATGATCTCAAATTCACCTATGTCACCATGCTTCATCATCACGGTTAAGAACCGGATGATAACTTTGGAGCATGGTCTGATGAGAACTTGACATTTCCCATGCTTCTCAGCATTGTTGATGCTTTTAAGAGCATCTGCCAGAATGTTCACACGCACCATGATGCCAGTGCAGCAATATGGCGGGAAAAGGCTTTCTAAGGCACAGATCCACGCTGTCCCGGCTTGGGCTGGGCGCTCCCCCTAACCCCTGCCCCTTTCCCCAGGAAAACCTGCTCTTTAACACTGAATTGGAACAAACAGCAATTCGGGTTTTCTGCAGATTGCCCTGTTTGGCGGGAAAGAGCTGTTTTTCGCATGGAAAGCGCCAGGCAGAACCGAAATAAGAAGAAAAGTGCTCTAACCCAGACCTGGATAGCCTGCCCGCTGTCTAGAAATTCAGAGCGAAGCATGAGCCCCAGATTCTAGTCTTCCCTTTCTTTGTGTGTGTTCTGCTAGCAATTGCAGGCGTTCCTGTTTAAACCAGCTTCTGACTCTGTTGCTGCTTAGGGTGGTGTTATGGGCGCCGCCCTTCCTGGCGTTGTCGTTTTCTTGCTGGTGTTTTTAGTTTGGTAGTTTTGTGTCCTCTTGGTTGTGTTTTTGTGTTGTCATTGACATCTGCAAGTTGCTTTGAGCAACACATTGTGGAGAAAGGATATTGTGCAGGAGAGGAGCCGGGATGTCTGGCAGTGAATGAAGAATCATAATACAGTGGAACCTCGGGTTAAGAACTTAATTCATTCCAGAGGTCCGTTCTTAACCTGAAACTGTTCTTAAGCTGAAGCACCACTTTAGCTAATGGGGCCTCCTGCTGCCGCTGTGCCATCGGAGCACGATTTCTGTTCTTATCCTGAAGCAAAGTTCTTAACCCAAGGTACTATTTCTGGGTTAGCGGAGTCTGTAACCTGAAGCGTATGTAACCCGAGGTACCACTGTACCGTTATACGGAGCTATGGTATGACCACATTTGAAAGACCGTTGCGCAGTTCTGGTCACCACACCCAAAAAAGGATATTGCAGAGTCGGATAAGGTTCAGAAAAGGGCCACCAAAATTATCGAGGGGATGGAGTGACCCTCTGCGTGAGGAAATATTTGCAGGGCTTGGGACTCTTTAAGTTCAGAGAAAATGCAAGTGGTGACATGACAGAAGAAGGATATGAAATAATCCATAGCTTGGAGAAATTGGAAAGAGAAAACATTTTCTCCCTTTATTACAACACTCGAATTGCTGGAACTGCTAGCATCCTGTTCTCACGGTAGCCACTCAGATGACTGTGAGAAATCAGCAACCAGGATTCGAACACAAGAGCAGGATTCGAACTCCCCTCTGCAATACCGAAGCATTGCTGCCTCCCGACTGTGGAGGCAGAGCAATAGCCATCCTGGGTAGTAGCCACTGATAGCCCTCTCCTCCTCCATGAATTTGTCTAATCCTCTTTTCAAGCAGCCCAAGTTGGTGATCATCCCTGCCTCATGTGGCAGGGAGTTCCACAGTTTAAACTGTGTACTGCAAGAAGAACTCTCTTTTACAAGAAAGGAGGTTCTGACTAAACATCAGGAAGAACTTTCTGACAGCAAGAGCTGTTCGACAGGGGAACTGACTTCCTCAGAAGGTGGTAGACTCTTTTTTCATGCTTTAGTTGCGATTCCTGCATTGCGGGGGTTGGACTAGATGACCCTCCGGGTCCCAACTCTACAATTCTAGGATTGGATGTCCATGAGAGAGGCAGAAAAGCTTACACACACCGTACTTTTCCGTGTATAAGATGTCCCCATGTATAAGACGCCCCCTATTTTGGGGGACTAAATTTAAAGAAAATGAAAGGAGATGGCCCAAAGTTGTTGGGCTTTTTTTAAAGGGGGAATTGCACGCACGCCATCACCCCAGCAGGGCCGTTGCTGGGGGTTGGCAAAGTGGGCAGCCGCTCCCCCCCCCCACTGTAGACAGGAAGCTCCCTAGACTGTGGGTCACCAACCAGCTGGCTGGTGGCGCACAGCTCCCTCCCCCCATGCCACTATCCGTGTATAGGACGACCCCAGTTTTTTGACATGATTTTTGAGTAAAAAAACCCCTTGTCTAATACACGGAAAAATGTGTGTGTGTGTGTGTGTGTGTGTGTGTGTGTGTGTGTATGTACATGTATATATTATAATACAGTGGTACCTTGGGTTAAGTACTTAATTCCTTCTGGAGGTCTGTTCTTAACCTGAAACTGTTCTTAACCTGAAGCACCACTTTAGCTAATGGGGCCTCCTGCCGCCGCACCGCTGGAGCACGATTTCTGTTCTCATCCTGAAGCAAAGTTCTTAACCCGAGGTACTATTTCTGGGTTAGTGGAGTCTGTAACCTGAAGCGTATGTAACCCGAGGTACCACTGTACAGTGGTACCTTTAGTTGCGAATGGGATCCGTTCCCGAGCCCCGTTCGCAACATGAGCAGAACTCAACCCGCATCTGCGCATGCGCGTGACCTCATTTTTTAGCGTCTGCGCGAGCGGCGAAACCTGGATGTAACCCTTTCCAGTACTTCTGGGTCGCCGCGGGACGCAACCTGAAAAGACGTAAGCTGAACCGAACGTAACAAGAGGTATGGATGTATATTAAAGATTTCTTGGTTTACAAAAGTGTGCGCAATGTCTCTTTTTTTCAAGATACATTTTCTACAGATCAGTTCCGTTTGTTGAGACGTTAGTGTTACATTAGGAAGAAAAGGGGGAAAGAGGTGGAGGGGGAATGGGGGGTGGGGTGGGGTTGGGGGGCAATGCTTCTATTTTCTATCAGATTGACTCTTGTAATAAAAAATTTAAGGTCTTATATATAAAATAAATGTTCATAAATGTGCCAACCAAGATGTGTGGACCACATGTCTGGAGCAGCACAGGAGGACCGCCCTGAAACCATTTTGACTCCCAAACTGACCAAATGTTTTCTCTGCAAGGAGGGAGGGGGTGAGGGAACCTCCCCATTGTCTCAGGAATTGGGAAATCACCATCTCAAAGGAATGGGCAGACTGCCAGGAAAGACAATCAGATAAGGCATGATCAGATAACTTGGCAGACAGGAAAAACAACAACGTTCAAATTTCTGTTGTAGACCGCCTTTTCTGTGATGTAGGTATGATGTTTGTGGGCGGTGGTCTTGGGTTACACCCCTTCTGTGATGTATGTATGATGTATGGAGGGGTGGTCTGGAGCTCCAGGGAATTTAAAATGTCTATATAAGGGTGGACACACCTTGGTTCTGGGTCCTCCTCCTTTCCTGCGTGTGAGGGGAGCACGCTGTTGCAACAGATCAATAAAGATCAGGCTTACTAGCTGCTTAGCTTCTCAATATTCTCTGGTTGGCCTCTGTTATTTTTGCCTACCGATAGGGAACCCACTTAAGGACTCTATATGGGCTCTTGGATACCCCATAAGGGAAGAAGGGCAGATTTTGTTGACAACACTCTGCAGCAGCCAGCCTTCTCCTCCTTGGTTTAACCTTGGCAGGCGATGCTTTGATTGAGATAGTGGGTAGACGAGAGAGGAGCAGGGGAGAGTATGGCAGTTGCAGAGGGAAAACCTCCAGTTCCTGTCTGGCCGAAGTGATGGGAGGCGTGTGCCTCTCTGAACATTGCGCACTTATTCGATGCAACAAGCATCAAAGAGCCCTAATGATGAACTCCGTGTTTCTCCCCTTCCCCCCCCCCCGGCCCTTCCCCGCTTCGGTCTTGCTTTGAGGGCGAAGAATGTCCTCTGTAGACCCCGAGGCTGGCAAACAGACCTCCTTCTATTCAGGGAAGGCCCCATTCCGCAAACAGAAACTTGACTGCTGCCTTCCCCCCCCCCTCCCTTTGCCGGTAGCAAACTGATGGAGAGAGCCCAGGTGACTGGAATGTGAGGGATTTGGAAACACAGGGAGGGGGGTGTGTGTGTAAGCCTGCGGAAATTGGACACTGCCCTGGGTAGAAGTTCAGTTTTTTGCTAATGGAATAAATTTTGGCTGCTGACGTCTCTGGTGGGATGTCTCAGGTCGGTGGAAAGTACTGAAAACTTGCAACGATTCCCCAGCACTTTGGGACCGTTTTATTCCATCGGCAAAATCGCACTTAGGTTGTCGGTCCTTTCCTGTTATTTTCTCCTGCTTGGTTTTCATAGCTAAACTTAAATTTCTTCAAACCTGCGTGGCAATGACTGATCAAACCTATCTGTGGCTCCTCTTGGCTTTTCACTCTGTAAGCCTTTTTGGCTAAAGCAAGGGTTTGGTGCTGCGGGTTAAACCACAGAGCCTTGAACTTGCCGATCAGAAGGTCGGCAGTTTGAATCCCCGTGACGGGGTGAGCTCCCGTTGTTCGGTCCCTGCTCCTGCCAACCTAGCAGTTCAAAAGGACGCCAAAGTGCAAGTAGATAAATAGGTACCGCTCCGGCGGGAAGGTAAACGGCGTTTCCGTGCGCTGCTCTGGTTCGCCAGAAGCAGCTTAGTCATGCTGGCCACATGACCCGGAAGCTGTACACCGGCTCCCTCGGCCGGTAAAGCGAGATGAGCGCCGCAACCCCAGAGTCGGCCACGACTGGACCTAATGGTCCTTTACCTTTACCTAGGGTTTTGCCAGACATTACCAGGATTTCAAAGGCAGAATCGACGTCCGGGGGATTTCTGAAATGTGTTGCTTTGTCATGGATCTCAATCGAAAATTCATGTTTTTGTAAAAAGAAGCTCAATAACTTTGGGGGTTGTCTAAGAAAAGCGCAACAATTTTGGGGTCTTCCTAAAAAACTTTGCAACATTTGGGATTTTTTTCCTCTCGTTTTGAGCTGTGTTTCCCAAACTTGGGTCTTCAGTTGTTTTTGGACTACAACTCCCATCATCCCTAGCTAGCAGGACCAGTGGTCAGGGATGATGGGAAGTGTAGTGCAGAAAAAATAAAATCTGGAGACTCAAGTTTGGGACACACTGGTTTAGAGAAAAGGTAAGTGAGAAATGACATGACAGAAGTTTATGAGAAAAGCTTTCCTTCGTCTCTCATAACGCCTAGAACTCAGGCACAGCCCCTGAAGGTGAATGTTGGAAGATTCAGAACAGATAAAATAAAAGTCCTGTACTTGGGGCAGCAGGTTAGTTTAGGAGGTCCAGGATGAGCAAGGTGGCAAACAGAACTCTTCTAGTTGAAGGGATTGGCTTGGGAGAAACAGGCAGGAGTGGGTGGGTGGGTGCTGTGTCTGCTCTCAGCACCTGCTGCCTGAAGCAAACTCCTCACTTTGCCCAACAGTAGGGCCGGCACATCCCTTCCTACTTAATGTAGCCCGCACATGTCTGCCCAGAACACCTGGAGAAGGATATCAATGTACATCAGTGTGAGCAGGGCTTGTAAATAATTAGACCGATACGACGTCACCATTTTCTTATTTCAAGGATTTGTATAGCCTGCTTCCCAGCCGTAAGCAACTTCACGAAGAGATTTAGGGTAAGATTGAATCAAAGCACTCATCAGGAGGTCACAGAATAAAGATCAGCAGTACAGAGTTGCAGAAACTCTTATAAGAGCAGATAAAACCATAGTTATAAGTTAAGGAACAAATAGGATAATTTTGATGCAACACTAAACAAGCAATAGTTTTTGGAAACCTGTCTGGGCTATCTAATCTCCATTAATATATTTTCTGAGTAAAATTTTTAACTTGCTCCCCCCCCCCATTTTTGAAAGCTGTCATTCAAATGGATGTACCTGTGAGATTGTTAAAAAGAACAGAACAAATCAGAACAAATCTGACACCAACGCTATGTAGAGAATAGCCAAAGTTTGCCATCTACATGTATTCAGCAGTCAGTTACAGTATTTTAATATTTTTTGGGAAGCCACCCAGAGTGGCTAGGGAAGCCCAGCCAGATGGGCGGGGTATAAATAATAATTAATTTATTATTATTATTATTATTATTATTATTATTATTATTATTTAATCATATCCTTTCTCCAAGAAGATGACTAGAGTGTGTTAGTATGGTTAGTGCCAAGTGCCTTCTGGTGGTTCCCTCCCTGCGAGAAGTGAGGTTACAGGGAGCCAGGCAGAGGGCCTTCTTGGTGGTGGCACCCACCCTGTGGAACGCCCTCCCATCAGATGTCAAGGAAATTAACAACTATCTGACTTTTAGAAGACATCTAAAGGCAGCCCTGTTTGGGGAAGTTTTTAATGTTTGGTGTTTTTAATATTCTGTTGGGGGCCACCCAGAGTGACTGGGGAAACCCAGCCAGATGGGCGGGGTATAAATAATAAATTATTATTATTATTGTGTTGCCCCCAGCTTTGACCCCTTGCTTTGTTTTTACCATAGGAAGAAAACCCTCTACAGAAGCGTCTTCCTCTCCTTCCTGCTGGTGGTGACGGTGACGGTTTTGCAGCGGGGCATGGCACCCAGCCAGTTGCTCCAGGGCCAGCCGCAAAAAGAACTTGCGGCCCAGGAGTCCGTGAAAGCTCAGAAGCGGGACGGCGTGCTCCCCGTCGCCAGCGACTTCTGGAAGAAGCAGGGCCCGGCTCTCAAGGCCGCGGAAGCGACGGAGAAGGCGGTGCGGTCTTGGGACGTCACCTCCGTCAACTGCTCTGCCAACCAGAACTTCAGCAAGGAGGACTGGTTCAAAGGTCTGGAGCCCAACTTCCGGCAGTTCATGCTGTACCGCCACTGCCGGTATTTCCCCATGCTGATCAACCACGCGGAGAAGTGCCGCGGAGACATCCACCTGCTGATCGTGGTGAAGTCCATCATCACCCAGCACGACCGGCGAGAGGCCATCCGCCAGACGTGGGGCCAGGAGAGAGAGATGGAGGGCAGGAAGGTGCGAACCCTCTTCCTCCTGGGCGTGGCCTCCAAAGAAGAGGAGCGGGCCAATTACCAGAAGCTCCTCGACTATGAGGACCGCATCTACGGGGACATCTTGCAGTGGGACTTCCTGGACAGCTTCTTCAACCTCACCCTCAAGGAAGTCCACTTCCTCAAGTGGTTCAACATCTACTGCGACCACGTGAGGTACATCTTCAAGGGCGACGACGACGTCTACGTCAGTCCCAGCAACATCCTGGAGTTCTTGCAGGACCAGAAGGCGGACAACCTGTTCGTGGGGGATGTCCTCTTCAAGGCCCGGCCCATTCGCAAGAAGGAGAACAAGTACTACATCCCCAACGCCTTGTACAACAAGAACACCTACCCGCCTTATGCAGGCGGTGGTGGTTTTGTCATGGATGGCCCCCTGGCGAAGAAGCTCCACAGAGTCTCAGAGAGCCTGGAGCTCTACCCCATCGATGACGTCTTCTTGGGCATGTGCTTGGAGGTCCTCAAGGTGACGCCTGTGGCCCACGCCGGCTTCAAGACATTTGGCATCGTGAAAAACAAGAACAGCAAGATGAACAAGGAGCCTTGCTTCTACCAGAGCATGCTGGTGGTCCATAAACTCCTCCCCTCAGAGCTGCTGGCCATGTGGGATCTGGTCCACAGTAACTTGACGTGCTCCAGAAAGCTCCAGATCCTTTAGCTCTCCCTGTTATCTCTGTCTGAGGGGGAAACGCTTAAGGGGAAGACATTGGTTGCCCAGAGCCGTGAGCCAACACCCAGCACTGTCTTTTCCAATAGTGTTGAAGGAGGAACCATATATTTTTGGGAAGGGGGTGTTTGAAGGGGGACGAAGCTCTGAAATGTTGATATTGGGGGGTATTTTATTCCCCCTTTGGTGGTTTTTTTTTTAGGATGCTGTGAAAGAGAGTTTGACAAAGATGGGCTGCTCAGCCCTGGATGTTCTTCTACCAGCTTTCTTGCGGAGATACCGGAAGGTTCTCTGTGGTGACCAGACCAAAGTAGGGCAGAGATGCCCCTTTTGTTGCTGTTTGTTTTGTGACATACTTTTCAGCTGAGGGCTGGTCCCGAAGCTAAGACACAACTCTGTGTGTACGTTTGTGTATGTGCGAAAGAGCAGACCGTTCAAAAGAGAGCGGAACGAGTTTTTGAACCAACACTTGAAATATGAACTCTTCCTCTCCCTTCCTTGCTGTTTGTCGCGGGGAATTTCAGAGAAAGAACGGTTTGGAAATTGCTCTGCTTGGGGTGGGAGGTGATGTTGCTAACAGGCCAGTGTGCCTCTCCTTCGGGCATGGCTGGCTGCAGAAGTGCCTGTGCGTCTTTCTCACAGAAATTCCTTTACGAGGGAAAGACGACCCTCAGCCAGCCCTCTCTGAGCTGTGTAACACTCGATTTCCATCTTTGCCAACCTGGTGCCCTGATGTGTTGGCACTATAACTCCCAGCAGCACTGGCTGCGGCTGACAGAAATTGTAGTCCAAAACATCTATCGAAACGACACCATCTATAAACCGAGGCCAGTTTTGTTTTAAAGGGGGAAAAAAGTGTCACCATGAGGGGAGAGGGATTTTTGTGTGTGTATTTTCTCTCTGTGTGGTAACTTAAAACAAGAAACGCATCCAAAATTGAAAGGAAGAAAACCCATCCAACAATTGTCTTCCAGTTGGGGGGGGGGAGTGAGTCCCCCCTCCTTGGCTGACTGTATCACATGGGGGTATATTTAACTTTTAAAAGATAAGTTATGCATTTCTTACCTAGAGTTTTCCCTGTAAAGCAGGGATCTGTCAGTGTGTTCCAGCTGCATTTTTATCCTTGCGACCTGTTTGGGCAACAGCCGATCCCAGGACCTTGAGCCGGCTCTATTATTGGGCAGAACGTACATCGGGCACCATGTGCCTCTTTCATAGACGTTACGAGGTGAGAAACTGTTTCCTCCCAACACCCTGGTGTGAAACCAGGCAAGTTTTGCACATACAGGTACGTTTGTACGCTGTTCCAGCCCCTGGCCACCCACCCACCCTTTAGTCCAATCCCATATTTTAAATCCATACTTAAAAAAGAACAGGCAGGATCCAAAGTAATAAAATAAGATTGATCCAACGATAGGCAGGGGACAAACACTTCTGACAAATTATAAGGAACTCCAAAATTCAACAAAGGAAGATTATTTAGATAAGGGAAAAGCCATGAGATGTTTTTGATTGCCTACCAATTGTAACTTATCCGTTGTCATTTCTCGCCCAGTATTGACTCAGCCCTAATCAGCCAACTTCTTGCTGTTGAAACTACAATCTCCAATTAAACGCTACCTCGAATTTTGCTGTAATTGACTCTCACCTACTTCACTCCCCTTGATGTCGGGCAGGGGAGGCCCATCCTGTTTTGCCACCTGAGGCGAAATGGAAATTGGCAGCTCCTGCCCTGCTCCCTTTTGCATCCCACCACTTCTGTTGCCACCGCCGCACCCTGGTTCTTGCCAAAATCAGTGGGAGCCCCGGTGCTCTTCAAAGTGTCGCCGCTTGGCTTCTCCCCTGGGGACAGAAAAGACGAGTGGCAATGCCATGTGCCAGAACAGCTCCCTTGCTGGCAGAGCGCCCGTCGCCTCTTGCACTTGTACTGCCTGAGGCAGGTGCTTCCTCCTGGCTCTGATGTTGGGGGACCACTTCATCTTGCTTCGTCCCCTACAAGTGGTAAATTGGGCAAAAGATGCCTCCTCTCTCATCCTGTCCCATCTCACCCCAGCTGTACCAGATGTTTTGTTCCTGCTGTGGCAGAGTTGGCTGTCTTCGTTTTAAGCACGTCCTTATCCAATAAGTAAATAATATACAAGCCGGTCCTTAAGACATCATCCAATTTCACTTGATTTTAATCAAAAGTGCCCCTCCAATGTTGCTGAAATTCAGGAATCTTCGTTTTATTTGGAAGGAGTGCGAAGAGATCCTTTGGGCGCGATTTGCTGCGTTGCAAAGGGGGCTTGGATGAGTAGGGAGAGGCAATTCTGACCCACATCCCTTCCTATTGATGGGAGAAGAGTTGGAAAGTTTTAGGATGTGGCCGGTTGCTTGAACTGGTGGAAGGCAGAATGTTTCAGAGAGGGGTTCAAACATGTGCCAACCAGCCCACAGCGTGATTAGGGACTTAATATTGAGCGGTGCCACAGCCAGGACATTGCTTTGCTCATTGGCTGTCCTCCCTAGCCACCTGCATGATGTTTCCCTCTTTCCTTCATGTAGTAGTTGCACAGACAAGTTGTTCACGCTCCCCAACGACAGAGCCGGCTCCAGGAAATACCTTCTTGTGCTGTGGGTCGTTCCAACGGCAAAGACTCCGGTCAGACTTTTGAGTGACGTTTATTACTGTGAAACTTTTAATTTATGATGATTATTTTTTCCCCAAGGGGGAGGGGAGGAGGGACACCTGCCCCTCCTCCAAGAAGCAACTGATTTTTTTATTCCTGCTCAGTTTCACTTCCAGTGGGAACGGCTGGCACGGTATCTCATCCCGGGCTGCGCCTGACGACCATCGCCTGCGGTGGAAATCCTTCTGCAATCTCTATTTATGAGAAGACACACGTGCTATAATTTATATGTGTCTGCAGTGTCTCTGAATGTCTATTATTTATAGCAGGTTCCGTTGCACACTCAGAAACAGTGTGGATGCTTGCAGGTCTCTCTTTCTCTGTGTGTTGCTTCGACATAGTGGAGTTGTACATATGATTGCCATAAGATTTATGGATATTTTTGGGGTTTCTAAATAAAGGTTTGTGCTAAAAAGAAGAAAGGAGATTGGTTGCAAATGTGAGAGCACCGGCGTGGAAATGCAAAGCAAGCATGATCCCGCTGGGTGTTTGGAAAGGGGGGTTGTTTATTCATACCCAAAAGTTCCCTGCAGGTTTTACTCTGCAATTCTGTGCTCATGTAACAAGAAAACCCATTGGATCTCATAAGATGCATGTAGCAGGATAAGGCAATAAAACCATGCGCAGCACTTAGGACTGCAGTCATTCAGTCAATAGACCTGCTTGAATGCTCCCCCAGTATCAAGTAAATGGACACCCACCCACACCCCTGTCCTTCCCCGCAAGTAGAAAACTAGTGCATCAGTGAGAGAGAGTCTATATAATTATGATCTGCCAGAACTTTCTGACGGTAAGAGCTGTTTGACTGTGGAACAGACTCCCTTGGAAAGTGGTGGACTTCTTGCAGTTTTTAAGCAGAGATTTTGTGGCCACCTGTCAGGGATTATTTAGTTGTGATTCCTGCATTGCAAGAATTGGGCTAGAGGAACTTTGGAGTTATTTCTAACTTTGCAATTCAATAATAATAATAATAATTATCTAAAATTGTATACTGCCCTATGCACGTAGATCTCAGGATGATTCACAACACAAAACCACAACATAAAAAACAAAATATATAATCAAAATAAGAACAAACCAAAAATTCCTTGTTCGACAACACAAAGGGCATTGGATGTCAATAGCCTGGTTAAAGAGGAGCCTTTTCACCTGGTGTATAATGATGTATTCAATTTGTATATCAAATACAAAGGAGCCTGGGGCAGCAAACATCAAAAGGCTAAAGCAATGCAACTGAAAATAAAACAAAACCTATTTAAGGGCATGGAAACCATCTGAAACATTTTTTTTTAAAAAATCACACGCCTTCCTTCCCAGTTGCTAATTTCAAGGTTGCGGTGGGCAGCTGTCGAATGTTTGGTATGAACAGGAAGCTATTGAAATTTCACCCAAAAATCAGTAGAGAGAGAGAAGAACATGCCGCACCAGAGACGGCATCCCACAAATGGGGAGCCACCACTGAGAAAGCCCTGTCAGGGGGGTCAGTGGCAACCGGGCAGCAGTTACAGGAGATACCGCCAACAGGGCATAGTTATTTAACTGGGAAGGGGGACAGTTCAAAGTGGCAACATCTTCTTCAACTTCATCTACAGGTCAGGAACATGAGATGTTGCCTTCTATGCAACCAGCCCATTCGTCTGTCGCAGGGCGGACTCAGACCAAGTGAACTGCAATAGGACTTTGGCACAGAAGCTGCAGACCACACCCTGAATTAAATTTCCATGTCATGAAGTGTTCACAGGACATTTAATATACACAGTATATTTAATTTTTTTTTTCAGGTAAATTTTTATTAGTTTTTCATACATATAAACATATACAAAATCTATTACATAAATTATATATATCATATCCAGTCCACAAATCATATGTATATTACAAAATTGTTTTAGGCTCTACCGAGCCTTGGACTTCCCTCCACTCCTTTGGTAAGTATCAAATAAATTCTGAAATCACGTATTTTATCTCCTTTACTTATTAGCCATTCGCTGTTAGAGTTATTCCAACCCCCCCAGTGTCATCGAAGTTCTACATTTAGTTCTTACATACATCAAGTATTTATTCCAGCTATCATGAAATTTCTGTTCGTCCTGGTCCCTTAATCTTCCTGTTATTCTAGCTAACTCAGCATAGTTTATCATCTTGACCTGCCAATCACTTATAGTAGGTATTACCTCCATTTTCCAGTTTGTGCTAACATAATTCTTGCGGCCGTTGTGGCGTATAAAAACAGATTTTTATCTTCTTTTTAAATTTCTTTGCCAGTCATTCCTAGCAGGAAAGCTTCGGGCTTTTTTGGAAAAGTGTATTTGAAATTTTTTTTAAGCACATTATAAATCAGTTCCCAAAAGCCTTTCACTTTGCTGCATACACAGTATATTTAATTAAATACAAGGTGTGACCAGAAAGTTTGGTGAATGGTCACAGAAACAGGACAGCGAGAAATATTCGAACATACAATTGGCGTCGGAAACCCACAAAATGTAACTCGAAAGACAGTGTGTGAATGGTTTAAACATTTCCGTTAAGGGCGGCAAATCATTGAAGATGACCCTCAGTGTGGCAGACCGTCAACGAGCGGAACGGCGGCAAATGTCGACAGAGTCCGTGAGTTTGTGGATCGGCATTTGTCCATCAGAATGATGGCGGAAGAATTGCATATTCCGCGTGGAATCGTTACTGAGGTGACTGAGGTGGCCTACCCTCAATATTCGCCTGATCTGTTCCAATCGGATTTTTTTCTTTTTCCGAAATGGAAATCTGCACTGAAAGGGCACAGATTTTCCAACATTTCACATGTCCAAGCTGGTGTGATGAGGGAACTGAAAGCAGTACGAAAAGAGGGACTTCAGAAGTATCCAACAGTTCTACGAACGTTGTCAACGGTGCATTGTATCAGAGGGGCTCCACTTTGAAGGCCTGTAAGGTGTGCATGTTTGAATATTTCTCGCTGTCCGATTTCTGTGGCCATTCACCAAACTTTCCAGTCACACCTTGTATATAGTGAAATACACATTTAATAGTTTTAATGATTAAACTAAGGCACAAACTGGGGACGCGAGTGGCGCTGTGGGTTAAACCACAGAGCCTAGGACTTGCCAATAGGAAGGTCGGTGGTTCGAATCCCCGTAACGGGGTGAGCTCCCGTTGCTCGGTCCCTGCTCCTGCCAACCTAGCAGTTCGAAAGCACATCAAAGTGCAAATAGATAAATAGGTACCGCTCCGGCGGGAAGGTAAATGGCGTTTCCGTGCTCTGCTCTGGTTCACCAGAAGCGGCTTAGTCATGCTGGCCATATGACCCGGAAGCTGTACGCCGGCTCCCTTGGCCAATAAAGCGAGATGAGCGCCGCAACCCCAGAGTCGGCCACGACTGGACCTGCCAACCTAGGCTCTGTGGTTTAACCCACGGCGCCACCCGCGTCCCTATTATAATAATTTTATTACCGTATTTTTCGCTCTATAAGACGCACCAGACCACAAGATGCACCTAGTTTTTGGAGGAGGAAAACAAGAAAAAAAATATTCTGAATTTCAGAAGCCAGAACAGCAAGAGGGATCACTGCGCAGTGAAAGCAGCAATGCCTCTTGCTGTTCTGGCTTCTGGGATATCTGCGCAGCCTGCATTCGTTCCATAAGACGCACACACATCTCCCCCTACTTTTTAGGAGGGAAAAAGTGAGTCTTATAGAGCAAAAAATACGGTATTTATACCCCGCCCATCTGGCTGGGTTTCCCCAGCCACTCTGGGCGGCTTCCAACCGAATATTAAAAACAATACAGCATCAGACATTAAAAACTTCCCTAAACAGGGCCGCCTTCAGTTGTTTTTAAAAGTAAAATAGTTGTTTATTGCCTTAACATCTGCTGGGAGGGCGTCCCCTGAGGAATCAGTTCTGTGGTTGTACATGAATTGAACTGAGACAAGCACTCCATCCCCAAATACGGAAGCAGAATGCATGGACTGCATGCTGGATTGGTGCAATCCAGTGACACCCAACCCCCAATAGACTGCGATCTACTCACAGTATTAAAAAAACTGGCAGTGATCTACCCAAAGTTGTGGAGCTTTTTTTAGGAAGCCAAAATTTGGGGGGGGGGGTTGGCTCTTTTGTAAGGAGATTACTGAAGGGCCAGAGATCAACCAGGATCTACCAGGAACACCTTGTGATCTACCAGTTGGACATGCCTGGCTGTAACCCAACAGTCCTAGGCTGACCGGTGAACGAGGTGCTGCAGGAATCGCTTGCTGGATTCCTGGACTTGAAAAAGCCGCGTGACCACCAGCAGCGATGTAGGTGTCAATGTTTTCCCAGATACATGCCAAGAATGCATTAATCAACTGGAATTTGACCTCCATCCAGGAATAAATATTGAACCACCTGAAAGCTCGAGGCCTTGCGTACACAAACCTACCTCGAAGCACTCCCACAAGCGGTGTCTGCATTTTGAGCTCTACCTTGAATAATTATCCCTGGGTGATATTGGGCCAGTCACAGCCTTTCAGCTTAACCTGCCTTGCCAGGTTGTTGTGAAGATGGCATGGAGAGGAGGTGGGGGGTGGGGAAGAACCACGAGTTCCTTGTAGGATATCTCTTTGGCGATCACTTGTAGCTGAGTAAGATTGTCTTCCATAAACCCGGTTTTAACAATGAGTTCGTAAGTGACTGTGGAGGCCAATTCTGGATCCACACGTCCTTCCACAGTGGGGACAGAGGTTTCTGGGCAGGAGCTGATCACGGTGTGGATTTGCCAAGCGTGCCTTCCTCTTAGCACATTTCTCCCTTGCGTCCTGAGTTCGAATGTCTTCAAAACCCATGACTCCTTTGGTAAAGGCTGTTCTCCAACTGGAGCGCTCGCAGGCCAGTGTTTCCCAAATGTCGGTGTTTATACTACATTTTTTAAAATTTGCCCTGAGACAGTCTTTAAACCTCTTTTGTTGACCACCAGCATTACACTTTCCATTTTTAAGTTCGGAATAGAGTAGCTGCTTTGGAAGACAATCATCAGGCATCCGCACAACATGACCAGTCCAATGAAGTTGATGTTGAAGAATCATTGCTTCAGCACTGGTGATCTTTGCATCTTCCAGTACACTGACATTAGTTTGCCTGCCTTCCCAAGTGATATGTAAAATTTTTCAGAGACACCATTGATGGAATCTTTTGAGGAATTGGAGATGGCGTTTATAAGTGGTCCATGCTTCACAAGCATACAGTAAAGTTGGTAGTACAGTGGTACCTCAGGTTACATACACTTCAGGTTACAGACTCCACTAACCCAGAAATAGTGCTTCAGGTTAAGAACTTTGCTTCAGGCTGAGAACAGAAATTGTGCTCCAGCAGTGCGGCGGCAGCAGGAGGCCCCATTAGCTAAAGTGGTGCTTCAGGTTAAGAACAGCTTCAGGTTAAGTACAGACCTCCAGAATGAATTAAGTACTTAACCCGAGGTACCACTGTACAATAGCTTTGTAAACAGGGTTTCCCTGCCAATGTCCCGGTCCTCAAACACTCTGCACTTCAATCGGGAGAAAGCTGCACTCACAGAGATAAGGAGATGCTGGATTTCGGCATCAATGTCGGCCCTTGTGGAAAGATATGACCTCCTTGTAGGATATATAGTAATAACAAA